GGGCATAATCGTATTAAATCAACTTGTAATTGGAAGCCAATAAGGGTCAAATTGAACAAGAATCGAGTTAAATTAAAGGTATAATTAAAAGGAATCGAGAGGACATGATTGAATAATTTCGAAAGTTAAGGGATTGATTTGAAAAATTGTCAAAAATCAAAATTTGAGATAATGAACGGTCATTCACTATCTTGTATATTTCAAAACTATTTCACCATAAATGTTTTTGATTTCTCTAGTTTTTCAACTAAATTGGATTCCTTTAGCCGACTCATCGATCTAGCCATCTTTGGCTCGCAAGTTACACTATAAAACGAAAAAGGATTAGAATGTTAGAAAATAACATAATAGAGAGAGAGAGGGTTATTAAATAGAACGACCGACGATAAAGGAAGGAGTGGTTCGGGGTTAAAAGAAATTAGGTATAAATAAGAGTGTTTTGAAGGTTGAAAGCGTTAGTGTATGTGTCCAAGATATAATCATATTTGGATCGATTTGAGTTATTATATTATTGCATCATTTATTTTAAAAGAGCCTTTGTATTAATTCTTATGTTTTATATTTATTTATTCAATAGAATTAGATAGAAGTCTTTATGATATGCATTTATATTGGTGGTTAATTGAAAGATGTAAGACAAGCACCGATGCATATAAATAATATTATTAAATGTCCCAAGTTATATCATTGTCAAAAATGTATATTAATAAGATATGGTTAGACTTATGATGCTATATTCATGCTATATGATCGCAGTAGAAGATCTCACACTTATTGGTATGATAATGTCAAAGCAAACACTTAGGTGATTCATGTTAGAAAACATATCATTGAACTTGACTCACCATGAGAATCCATTTAATTTAGTCTATAAGAATCTCATATAAAATGAGTATAACTAGTCCTTAGACTTGAAGTCGGCATGATTATCTCATTAGAGGATTTATGTACTTTGACACTTGTTTTGATGGATCCGGTAAAGGGTTGCACATGGGTGATATGTTGGTTGCACTAGGAATCTAATAGAGGTAGATGGATGACTAAGATAGAATATATCAATCCTTGTACGCTAAAGGAGTTATCACATTGTACTTCGATGAATGTCCGCTCAAGAAATCTGTGGCCACGGTAGGAGTACACCAATAGAGTATAGTTGGTTTACTCTAAAAGCTAAGACATTTAGGAATCAAAAAAATTATTTGAGCATGATCGAATAAGACTAACAACCAAGTTTGAGATCACACTATGATAAGTTGACATGAGGATTGAACTGTATGGTAACCATGCTTATGAAAGATAATTGCGAATTAATTAATCATCCTAGAGAATGGGGTAGTCATGATGCATTGCCGGAGGTCAATCTTGACTTATGTATCAAGAGTAAAAGAAGAGATAAAAGAGGTTTCTTTTACTCTTGATACATTACCAATATATCTAAGAGCCTATTGAGTCACACGCATATATTTAAGCATTCATATGATTAAAGAGAAGCAAAGATGCTGAAAAACGTTTTCAATTTTAAAAGTTTCTCATTTTAGAAAAGGTTTTCAAAAATGAAAGTTTTCAAAAATGAGAAGTTTCTTATTTTAGAAATATGTTTCCTAATTTGAAAGTTAGTTACAAATTTTGAAGTAAATAACCTAAAATGAAAATTATTTTTCTAATTGAGGTTCAAGGGTATTTTGGAAAATTAATTCCTAATTTAAGCCTCCTAAAATTATCTAACTTAATTTATTTGGATAATCTAAATTAATTAATTGGATCAAAATAGATTTAGCCAATAGGTTTAATTAAAAACCTAAAAGATATTTTTGTAGGAGTATAAACATGAACCTTATTGGATGAGGATGAATATTTTACGGATAAAGATTAAAAAGCTCACATGCAAAATAACTCCTAATCCTTTGAAGATTAAAAAGCAACAACCAATAGTCTAATTAGGACTAGTTATCGCTCCTCTTTGTCCTTGGAGGATAAGGAAGCCTCTCCCCTATATATATGAGAGAGGTATGACAAACAAAAAGGTTTTTTATAAAAGAGAAAACGACAAAAAAAAAAAAAGCTAGGGCACACGACATTGAGAAAAAAAGAGAAAATAGTTTTCTCCTAAAAACCTTAGCACATGCCACTTTACTCTCTCCTCCAGGTTGTTCTAAAGTTTCTCCGATTTGATTTCTAAAAGAAAAACACTAAACAAAGTTAGAAAAGATAGATCTAGCACTTTATCAATTTTGAAAGCTCCTTTTATGGGTGCTTAGGTCGTGTAGATTATTGATAGAGGTTGGACACTTGGATAACTCTTTTCGCAAAGGTTTAAATTTGCACTACAAGAGATAATTTTTTATTTAAAAGCTTTAATTCATGAATATATGGTTAGTTGATTCAACGAATGATCTTGGGTCCTTTAAATGGAGGAATTTTTTTATTCTACATCTCCATATGATGCATAGTCCTTTAGAAATGGGGGATCAAAGAGAAAAAAATTGAAAATCGAATAGAAAGTGCAAAGAAAGGAAATCGAGGCATTCGATTTTCCGGGTTTTCTTGAAGTTTTGTATAAAGTTCTTGAAATTTTAGGTTTTGTTTATTTTTTAGGTTTTTGTTCTTGAGTTCCTAGGTTTTGGTTGAGTTTTTGGGTTTTTTTGAATTTTTGAATTCCGATTTGAATGATTCTAGGTCTTTTAAGTCTTTGGGTTTAAAAAAAAACAATCTAGATTTTGAGAGAGAAGACTAAAAATAAGATTTGAAGAGGAAAGAGGATGAAGATGATTGAAATGAGAGAGGAGAGTTATTTTGGGTTCATAATTTCTTAGTTTTCTACTTTGATTTACGGTGGTTTTAAGATCATTAGAAACCTAGATCTTCAAACGGTTTTTCCAATCCTCAATAACCACAACAACACATTCCCTATGTTATAGTCCTAAGAGCATCGTAAGCCAATCTTAAATCCTAGAATCAACAACAACGTATTCAATATTTGGGTCATAATCCTTCAATTCCCTCTACAAAATCATCAATAACAACATAGAGCCTTGAAAACCATTTTTCATTCTTTCGGTTTTGTCGAGGTAATCTTAATCTCATCCTTATTCCATTTTTCATGTTAATGCTTAGGTTCAAGGTTTGATAAGGTTCTATGACAAGTAACACGATCATTGCCATGGCAAGTTCTCCGATGTTATATCATTAAATTCTCAATGATTGGGAATTAAAGGTCGATTTAGTTGTTAGTTTTATAGAAAATAAGTTCATTTGATGATGATTACTCGTCCAATTGAAAAAAAATTATGGAAGATATGGAAGACCGAACGTTTAGTCTAGGAAGAGGAGAAAAAAAAAGGGAAAAAGAAAGAAAAGAGAGAACGAGGAGATAAAGAAGAGAAGTGGAGCTGGACTAGGCTTGGCCTAATCCAAGAAAAAGAGAAAGATAGGTTAGGCCCCCCTAAAAAAAGGAAGGAAAGAATTATAGTGGGTTAAGCCCAATCCATTCGGCCTAACCAAGTCGGCTTAATCTAATAGGCCTAGTCCAGTGGGCCTAGCCTAATGGGCCAAAAGCCCAATGGCCCAAAGGATGCAATAACCTATTTTTTTAGCTTTTTTCCTAAAGAATCGTGCCTGAATTTTTCTAATATATGCTTTTATTTTAATGCCTAGTCTAAATTTAATTCATTTGAATTGTTGATTTATTTACTTATTAGTTTATTTTTATATAAATGTTTAATTATTTAGATTTTCTTTCGAAAATTAGAATAGATAATTAATCGATGAATGGATCATTGAGTCTTCTAATTTTTAAAGACCGATGACGATTCCTCACAAAAAAAAAAAAAACAAAGCAAAAACATTAAAAATAATAGGTAAAATTAAAAGAAAAAAATCATAAGGAAAAAATTATAGAGATAAAAGAGGAAATAAAAGGAAGAATCTTGGGAAAATACTAAAAAAGGAAGAAAATCCTAGGTAAATAATAAAAAAAGAGTATAATAAAGTCATAGGGAAATTTTTTTTTATAGAGTTTGACGTTAGCCAAATAAACCACTTTAGCAATTAGGTTTTTTTTTTGACATACTAGCTATGTCGAGACTTAAAATGGATCCGATTTTAAATTGATGTGACCCTCGATGGAGGAGTCCGATGATTGGTTCAATATGATGCCACAAACAAAAATAAAAAATTAATTTAGCCTAAAAAATAAAACTTGAAGTTCGAATTGAAAATAATTTGGCATAAATAAAACGTCCTAGGAGATAAATTTTTAAATTAAGCTAAACACGATACCTTTCTTAGGAAATTATTCTTCGGGTAATTGATATCTTTCAAAAAATATAACCAACTCCTTACTCTAAAAACCAAGAAACTTGTGGTCCAATGGTAATGGTATCTTGCAACAAGTGATCACGAGTTTGAATCTTAACGGACTAATTTTACTAGAAGCTTTAGTTATGTGAATTAAAAAAAATCTTTTTATCTTAAAATCTTTACATTAATGTTATTTTAGGTTCTTAATTATCTTTAATATTAAGTAACAATTTCAAAACTTGCAATAACTCACACCTAAGCACAAACAAATTAAATCACTAAATTTAATTTTAAGAAGTTCCGAGAAAGTCAAGCAGCGATAGTGTCAGGGAATAAATTTTTGTTTTCTTTCGCATCCTTCTCTGCTTATCCAACCTTTCAATGCTGTCTTGACTTTCTATCTAAACTTAGACCACACTGTGCCTTTGGGCACATAATTTCCATTGGCCCATTAATCTTTATTTTTATCCTAATCTGGGTCCTTTAATGAAAATGCGAACAGAGTAAGGAGGATCAACCTAAGAAAGAAACTATTAGGTGGACTCAAATAAGAAGAATGAAAATGTACAGGTATCAAATACGTTATTCACCCCTTTTCCTTATAAGTTGGGCCCAAGAAGGAAAAAGGAGAAAAATAAATAAAAATAAATAACAAACCCTTCTCGTCTGGAGGGAAGGCAAGCGAAAGAGGAAGCGAGAAAATGCCAGTGGCTAGACCAGAATCATCTGATTCAAGGACAAGGGTCATCGCGCACGTTGACATGGATTGCTTCTACGTTCAAGGTCTTATATTTATTTATTAATACAGACACTCTCTCTCACTTTTTTTTTAATTTATTATTATTATGAATAGACTCTCTCTCTCACTTTCACTGTCTGCGTGTGTGTTTGTTGATTTATGTAGTGTTTGTGTCCACCTAGGATTTTCCAGTGTTACAATTTTTCCTGTTTTGGAAACTGGGTCTTGCTTAGAATTTCCGAAATGAACTCCTGCAATGCAAATTGGGTTTTGTTTTTTAACTTCACGTGATTATGACATTTCTTACCACCCTTTTAATTCTATTTACTTGTATAGGATACATTATCATGTTGCTAAATAGTCATGTTGGAAATGCATCCGCTTTTTGTTTTGTTTTAAAAAAAATTGTAGTGGAGCAGCGGAAGCAGCCAGAGTTGAGGGGTTTACCTACAGCTGTGGTGCAGTACAATGAGTGGAAAGGTGGGGCTTTAATTGCTGTTAGCTACGAGGCTCGTAAACTTGGAGTCAGTCGGTAATTACATCTTCCAGTTTTATTGTTTTCATTGATGACTTATTATTTCAAGGTTGGCTACATAAGAATCGTATAAAATGGATTGACTTTAGCTTCATGAGAGGTGCTGATGCAAAAGAAGTTTGCCCGCAAATTCACCTGGTTCAAGTACCTGTTGCTCGAGGTAAAGCTGACTTAAACACTTACCGCAATGCAGGCTCTGAGGTAATGTGGGATTTTGCATTCTTATCGATGAGAAGATTGTAGTTAGTAATTCATATCATGATGTGCTCTTGTTGGACTTTTACTGAATGTTGCAGGTGGTCTCTATTCTGGCAAGAAAGGGTCGATGTGAGAGGGCTTCAATTGATGAAGTTTATCTTGACCTTACCGATTCAGCAGAAGCTATGTTGAGAGAAACTCCTCCAGAGAGCTTGGATGCAATAGATGAGGAAGCTCTCAAATCACATATTTTGGGGCTTAAAAGTGAGGTATGAGTCAATCCTTTTGTATCTATCATCATTATGCTATGGTAGGTAATTTACAAGCAAGTTTGAAAGTCGATTTAAGAGGTAAATGCCAATTCTTATTGTCTTGGAGATTTTTTTTTCTCTGGAAATTTGAAGATGGCATACTGGGATCTTCTGTTAGCTTCATCTTCTTCAAAAACCTTTAGAATTACTATTTCTGCTATGCCCTTTTAACATCAATTCTGCCCTAGCCTACAACTTTTTGTACTTCTGAATGACTGAATCTTTCTGTTTCCTTGAGTGGGTTACCACCTTCTACTTGATATCTGAAAATCTCAATCTTAAGCCTGGAAAAGAACATGAAATGTAGAACTCTGTTTTGGTATAGTATTCTTTATCTTTAGGTCTCTCTCTTTCATCTCCCCAATTTTGATGTTCATTATGCTGGATTTGATGTTGAGTTCAGAATGGAAATGATGCCCAAGAAAATGTGAGCAAGTGGTTACGGAGGACTGATGCCAATCACCAAGACAAGTTACTAGCTTGTGGGGCCCTCATTGTCACAGAACTCAGGATGGAAGTCTTAAAGGAGACTCAATTTACATGTTCTGCTGGCATTGCTCATAACAAGGTTGGAAACTGCTTAGTTATTATTATTTTTTGCTTTCTTGTATATTGAGTATGATCTTGCATTAATTCATTACATTGATGAATGAATGGGATGCAATGACAATGTTTTATATATGAATTTGTAGATGCTGGCCAAACTTGTAAGTGGCATGAATAAACCTGCACAGCAAACTGTTGTGCCCTCCTCATCTGTAAAAGGATTGCTTGAATCGTTGCCAGTAAAGAAAATGTAAGGGATCTTGTTCATATATTTATTTTTAAATATGACAGTCTTTCTGTTTGTGTTCTATTATTCTTCTCGAAGGGTTTGGTGGTCTTCTTAGATGGAATATGTTATTTTTGTTTGCAATAGGAAACAGCTTGGAGGGAAGCTGGGGACTTCATTACAAACTGACCTGGGTGTGAACACTATTGGAGACCTCCTGCAGTTTTCAGAGGAAAAGCTACAAGAACTTTATGGCATAAATACGGGGTAAATATAGATCAAAGTACATAGCACATGGATGCTCTAATTTATTAGATTGAAGAACTATTCTGTTGAATTTCTCTGACAGAGCTTTCTATGGCATGACATACAAAGTTGAAATTGGTTAAACTCCTGCAGTAATTGTTGCTTACAGAAGGCTAAAAAAAATACATTTCTTTTCCCAAATTTATACTGTATTGTTTTTTAAGTATCATAAGGTGTATTTTTCAAATATTGTTGTACTCCCAACTTCTAAAGGTATTTGCTTTTTTGGTCATCCATGTCTTATCTAGTTTGGCATTCTTGATGTTGGATCAATCCTGTGCAAATACCATTCCCATTGACGTATTTTTTAAACAATTGCAAGATGCTGCTGCTAATTCCTAATTCCTTTTTCACTCGAATTCCAGTACTTGGTTGTGGAACATTGCAAGGGGAATCAATGGGGAAGAAGTTCAGGGCCGCCTTCTCCCCAAGAGCCATGGTGCTGGGAAATCATTTCCTGGTCCTCGTGCTTTGAAGACAATTGCTTCTGTATGAATTTCTACTTGACCAAATGAAATAATTTTGTGCATGATGCTGCATGTTATTGATCATCTCATTTACCTAGTAAATAAAGTGTTTGGGAGCTCATTGGCCCAATGTCTTTTATGCATTTCTTTAGGAGTTCCTTTGCTGCACTGATTACTTCAACTGTAACTTGTTTTGTAGTGGCATTTCTATATTCTCGGCTCTATACTTCTCTTTGATCTGATATTGTGGGTGTATGATGCTGTTAGCCTTTCAAATATTTATTATTGCCATTGTTCGTTGTCATTTTTACAGGCAATGAACGTGATTAATGGAGGGATTTATGGAGGAATCCTAAAATTTCTTCTATATTTTAGATATGTTACTACTACTAAAAGTTCATTTGTCATTGGAGTTACTGTGTTTCCATTCCAATAGAGAAGAGAAAGCTAGTACTTTTTCTTAGTTACAAAGAAAAGCCTCAAAACAGTTTGGTGGAATGGAATTAGGTTCATCAGGAAAACCCACACCACCCTTGTTCTTACGTAGTGTGCTTAAATCTTAGCCATCTGTTCTGTTAACACACATTCCCGTTAAATTTTTTTCATGAACAAATGCCACTTATCACCATACTATTGGTCCAAACCATTGCCAGTTATTCACAGGAGCCCCCTCTCTCCAGTACAAACCCCCCACTCCTCAACGAAGGATCCCTTATCCAACAAAGAAAGCGATATACCACAATTCTACCTAACTTCTGGCTCATTCTAGGCACAATGGCTCTATCTCTAGATTCTCTCTCTACAATCTTTTGCTCTCAAACCAATCAGTATTCCAACCACTAAGCTACCTTACACCCAATCCATGACCATTCTAACTAGCATACTCTCTCTATATAATCTGTTCTCTCCATACACCACCTGCTGTTCTCATCGGTCACAAAGTCTGAACTCCCTAGATATTTCCTAAACCTCCTTCCTCAACTCGCTCTATCTCCATCTTATGCATTCTTAATTTGTTATTATTAAATCATAGCTTGACCTTTGGGAGTGATGGAATATGATTGTTAGGGAAAATGTAGCAGGGGCTTTTGTATACTTCCAGCCAATACATAGGATGCAGATGCCTGTACAATCTAAATCATTCCAAGTAGCATATAGTAACATAATTAAAACAAATTAACTATTAGTTTATGGAAATATAGTAATTGATGAACAGCTCTCTCTCTCCTCCTCACAACACCGTCTTATCCTACCAATTTTTTTGGAACCATGATGTATGGTTGCATGTAGGCAAGGATGCGTATCTAGAAACTACATTTAAAGCAAAGCTAACTGTTGGAATTACTTAAGAGAAGAAATGACTATGGGAAAAGTTGTCCCAGTTAAGGTTTATGTTTCTCTAACAAGGCATTCTTTTTCCACAAACTGCACAAATTTTCTGGTGCTATGACATAACAATTGTGTCAAACTATAACATTTTTTTTTTAGAAAGGAAGCTCCTTTTCTTCATTTGATTTTTTAAATTCTGAATTTTTGGGACCTGCATAGGGAATCTAATTCTAACTGTTAGTTGTTTGTTTTTATTCCAGTTAAGCATTGTTTCCTTAACAAATAAGTTAATCCAATTAAATATATATTGTTTGCGATCAATGTGGGAGATATGTTAATCCAATTAAATATATATTGTTTCCTTGCTTGCATATCTCAGGTTCAACACTGGCTGAATCAACTTTGTGATGAGCTTAATGAACGTATTTGCTTTGATTTGGACCAAAACAAGCGAATTGCACACACTCTTACCATTCATGCTAGCACTTACAAGGTGCTTATTTTCTTTCTGGTCTGTTTGCCAACTATCTTGTCTGATATGTGCAAACCTTTAAGTGTGTTTTTGTCCTTTTTGTGAGTTACCTGCAGTCTAGCGACTCGGAGTCACATAAAAAGTTCCCTTCGAAATCTTGTCCGTTGAGGTATGGGACTGCCAAGATTCAAGAGGATGCATTTAATCTATTTCAAGCTGGATTACGTGAATATATAGGTTCATATGGAGTCAAGACACTAGGTCATCATCACAACGGGTGGGGAGTAACTGCTCTTTCTATTTCAGCAAGTAAAATTGTTGCTATACCATCTGTAAGTTTGATGTTCATTTGTCTCTATGCTTAATCTGATGTTTTTTCTGTGCATCTAAAAGTGCTTTTTGGGTTTTTTTTTTTTTTTAATATTTTAGAATTCCTTTCATAGGAATTTATTCTCTTCAAATTAAATCATGCAAGGAGGCTTTCTATGCTAGGAAAAGAATCTTTTCTGGAGTTTTCATAGAATGATTCTATGTCCTGTCTTTCCCTTTGTTTTTGTCTGTCCAACATAATATGTATCCATTGCGGCATCTACTATTATTTGCTGGTAGATGATTCATAATCAGAGACTTTGTTTCAGAAAAAAGTTAAAATATTCTAAAATCCTATTTGGATAAGAAAATTGAGATATTAGAAGTTTCAAAGAATCCAATCGATTTTCTTTGTTTGGATGACTTTGCAAACAGTTTAATTGAATCAAGCAATGTTGTGTTGAGACTCGTAGAACTGTCTTGTGGAAAAGGCATTGAAGCCTGTGCTATAGTGGACGTGGTGGTGGAGGAAGGGATTGCTGTAGTAGGGGCAATTCAGCATCAGTTAATGGCGTTGCACAAGAGGTAGTAAAAGTGATGTGTAAAGTGATTGTTTATGCTGCATTGATATTGGTAACTGTATTGGTGGTGGTGGTGGTGGTGTAATGTTGCAATATGGTGGTGGAAAATATTGACAGTGTAAATGATGTTGGATAACAATAATAAATTCAGCATGGATGGAGGAAAGTGCTTAGTGATTATGTGCTTGGCAACTTTTAAATGAAGGAACTTTTAAGTCACATCCTTAGATGGAATTTAAGTGAAAGATTTAGTTACATTCCTCTTAAATTCAGAATTCACTAGTTAATGTAATCGAGAAATTTCTGTTGGAAAGTCCCAAGTCCCAACCTCGTCCTTGCTTCTATGTTCTTCCTCCAATAACGTCATCCAGACACAACCTTGAGTAAGTAGATTAACTGATTAAGGCATTACATCTTGTAGGGAACAGGTTCAATCACAAAATACTTTCATGGACAGTATACATCACCCTCTTCTTCGAAGGAAACACTGGATTGCTTTGTTAAAGAAGCCATGCCATCATCGCCATTAGGTGATTTCAGCTTTACACATTGCCAGTTGTCTTGTATATTCTTTCGATTTCTAATATTTCCCAAAAAGTATAATGGAAGCTATGTGTTTATTCAGTTAGTGAAAGCTATTCCAAACTGGAACCAACTGATCAGCTGCAACTTGAGAATAATGTCCCGTGTTTGGGTCAACAAGAACAGAAAAGCATTCTATGGAAAGATCAGGTTTCAGCAAAATCAACTTTATTCCTTTATGGAAAGAAAATGACTTATAGAATTGCGATTATTGATTTCTTTTAAACAAGAATACTAATATCATCTTGATGTTTATGTAGCAATTACTCAATTTTAGAAACTAGTTAAACTTGAAACTGGGTTAAAAATTGGTCTTGTAATTTTTGGTAGCTTTCTTCATTGTGTTGAAGTTTAAATTGGAAATGATTTGCCCTGGAATTTGGTACAATGCCTCACCATTTTGTTTATGTAAAATTTGGGGTCTTAGATTGTATGAATAGGCAACGTAATCTGAACTTTAAGTGGAATGTTTTCACATATATCAGAGTCTGCAAATTTTTCTCACATGCCCCTGTGATCTAACTTTTTGAACCAATTTTGTACCGTTCATTTCTTTGAAAGCTTTTTAATCCAATTTAGGTGTCTTCAATGGTGTCTTCTATTTAATGTTGAAGTGACCTTACTTATTTCAGTCCTTTAAATTGAAAACAAATTTCCATTTTATGCTTACTGCTGTAGATGTAGAATCATAAGCATATATTTGCACATTTAATTTTGTAAGTCTCCTAGGCTTACTTCATCCGAAGAAAGTTGGCCTTTTTGTTTTTTGGTATATTTTTCAATATTACTTTTCAAAATGCAACCAATTGTTGTCTGGGATTGAATGTTATGCAATACAGTTCTCACACCAATTTTATTCTTGAGGGAAACTCTAGAACCATCTACTATTTGACCCATTTAATTTTGAGATTGAGAGGAGATATCAGAAAAATAGATTAGTTTTTGCATCATTTATGTTGTTATTCTCCATGTTTATTCTTTGGCAGTATGAAATTCTTCCTTTAAATACACTTATTATATGTACTTGAGAGCTTATTATTGGACTAGGACGTTAATTCCTTACATGCTCATTTTGTAATTTGTTTCCCATATTATCTGAGTGTCTTCAGTTACCATAATACTTCAATAATACATGAATCATCCCTTTGCAGGACTCATCTTGCTCTTCAACAGTGCAGACACAAGATGGCTGTGGCAGGGGAGCCTCACCACCATTACCCTCAGGTGTTTTATTCAAGTATTGTTCTTAATTAGTATACTAATTCTTTTGAATTTGCTTTCCCATTGTAATCAAGTTCTGGTGTTTATTTAGGAAGTGAAAGTTGCTTACTTGTAAACCAAACCGACTCACAGGGAGCCTTTAGGGATAATCCTAGGATTGATTCTACCATGCCTACTTTGGAACGACATAAAAGGAAAATAAACCCTTCTACAGATAAGGTACATGCTTGCACTTCTCTGATGATTACCTATGAGAACATACAAAATAGTCACTTTACTGACTATTGCTTTTTCAACTGTTCCTCAAATCCCTCACTAGTTACTGCTGGTTAGAACTTTTTGTTTGTGGACCAAAAAGATTACTGTCAATTTATTACTACAACAAAGCCTCAATCCCAAGCTAGTTGGCATTGGTTATATGAACCTTTTGTGCCATTCAGCTCAATCATAAACCAAATCCACCTCAATATTGAAAGATTTTAGATTCTTCGATACCACTTCCATCTACGTTATCTTAGGTCTTCCACTTCCCTTTTTCCCATTACTATCGATTTATTGCCCTAAAAAATTTGATAGGAGGTTATGTAAGCATGTGGACGTCAAACTTGTTTGTCTCTAACTGACTATTGCTTTTGAAATAAATAAACCATTGTTTTCAGCTCATTGCTTGGTGGGATGGTAAAAGTTATCACCTTGCAACTAGAAGTTGTGTTTGACTTTTGGATGGCAGCCACTTAATGCGTAACTGCTGAAGGTAGAATGGATAATCCCTTTTGAGTTAACCATGACGTAGAGTCCCAATTGTAAATTAAGTTTCTGGAAGTGGACAGTTTCTTTTAATGTTGTCCTTTGCTCCCATGATTAGTTTTGTTTGAAAACTTCAGTATTTCTGAACTGAAAACCAGAGCAAATAATTGTAGCTGGAAGAGGAATTAAGCAAATTTGACACAAAGGAAAAAAAAAAACGAAGAAGAAGAAGACGAAAGAAAAACAGAAGAACAAATCTCGATCTTATTAATGGGGTGCTAAATAACAATCTTATAGAGACAGAATTTCGGTTCTGCTAATAATAATGTCGTCTGACGTCACCTCATTCTGCTGTGACTTATTGTTACATTTGATATTTTTTGTTAAGTTGCCTTTCTGTACAGTGCATTATACTTTTACTGCTTGGATGACATGGTGCGATAAGAATGTGGTGTTATAGCCTTGCTGCTCAAGTGAATACTGTAGGAATTGGCAATTAAAAAGACCTTGGATTTGGGCCACATGATTCATTCCATAATTCTTCAGCTTATATTTACTAAGGAGTCAATAAAAACTTGCACAAGACTGGCCTGTGCTATTAGAAAACGTGCATATGCTTATTATAACTATACTATCTTTGAACAAGTGTATGCATTTTCTCCCTGTCATTTGTTTCTATCATGCTTCCTAGTCTAGTTTTCCCCCCTTTAGCTTGCTTTTTTATTGTTTTTGGGCAGGGAACAATCTTGAAATTCTTGAAGAGCTACAAAGTTTCCTGCTCCACACCAAAGCAAGAGAATGTTGAAATGGTTAAAGGTACTAAAACTCCTCCATCCTCAAGTGTAATCTGATATCCTACTTTTACTTCCTATATTATGGCATTTACTCTTGTCAAGAGTTCCATTTTCCAGGTTCTCAATCTCCAAATAGTAGATGCTCAGAAGCAAATCAAGTTGAGCTGCCAAGACAGAGTTTTGCAGAATGTAGTACGAATGATGGTAGCTATAGTTTGGATGAAAATGCACAAAGGGCATGGAATTACAAGATTGATGAGATCGATCAATCTATTATCAATGAGTTGCCATCAGAAATCCAAGATGAAATTCGGGCCTGGCTTCAGGCTCGTCAACGACCTAGTATAGCTAAACGTCCTATTGCAATTAAACGAGGTTCTATTGCCCATTATTTCTCCCCAGCCAAAAATACATAGCACAATCTCAGGCAACATCGTCCTGTATATAGGTGTTTTATATGTTAGTTGAGAAAAATGGGCTTCGTGACCTTAATGATTTTAGCATTAGATTAGATTTAAAAAAAAAAGAAAAAAAGAGCGTCTACTGTCTTGGTTCAAAGCACCTGTATATATTATACAATCACATTGGTTGCAAGATAAACCTCGAGTTAGAAGCCGATGCTGAAGTTTCTACACGTAAATTATTCGGAGTTAGATGAAGTGGTTTGTATGTAAAAGATGGTATTGGAGCCTGTCTGAACCCTGTGCTTAGCCTGTTTTGCTTTTAAGATATTTTACAACCTAATCTATCATCTATCTATATGATATAACTTAAACTTTTGGGATGGATATAAAGAAGCCATTTCGAAAACCGGAAATGAATTCTTTTATTGGGAGAAAGTAAAGGACAGTATATTAACACTAGATAAAGATGTTCAGTAAATTATGACGAGTGTATTTTGGCCTCTACGGAAAAATGTATAACATGCTCGTTTTTTGTTTTTTTTGGAATATATATACACATGTATATACATTGATTTTAGAAAAAGATTTAACACACCCACGCTTGTAAAACTAGTATGACTGCAAACCTGATGAGCCAAGTTTGTGAACTTGTTAAGAGATCAATCTACTTCATGGATGAGTTATGATACTAAGCTTTTAATCTTTTGATAAAATCGGCAACTGAATTATGAAATGAATCAAATTAATGGCAACACAGAAGCCACGGAGCTGGTAAAGCAAAAAAATACCCAATACCCCTCAACCTGGTGGTAAATGTATATGATCCTCATGTTATATATCATCTTAGGTCTCAGAAAAAAGTCTCATGAATGAATAAGTATACTCGTATGTAAAAAGGGCATACTTAATTAAGCATTATCGAGAAGAGAGTTAAGTGTCAGTCAACATAGAAAAGAAGTGGGTATACCACTACGCAACAGCTCTACCAGATTTATATATTATTTATGCAGCTAATGGCTCTGGAGCAACAGCCACCTTCCTCCGTTTCGCAATCTCTTTGAACAAACGAAAGGAGCATATAAAGGCAACTAGGAAAGAATATATTGTTGCAAAGCCAATTACGACCATCAGCAGCACATTAATGACTTCTGTGGCTCTTACATGCTTTATCATGGAAATCGGAAAGGTTAAGCAGAAACCTCCGAACGGCCCTGTGATACAAGCTCCAATTGTATGTTCAAGCAGTAACGAATCACTCTCCAATTCGTTGCCGTTCATTTTTGCGGTCCAAATCCTGTTCAGGAAACACATCGGAAGATAGATATGTATTTAAAATTGAGGAAAATGGCAATATTGTTGGTATTTGTTTTAATTTCCACCGTTTCCATCTTCGACGAAGATAATATTAATCCATTACGATTTTCATGAGATCATAAAATTGATTCGTTCGACATGTTTTGTAATAACTCTCGTGTTTTGCTTACGTAATCTAGAGAACAATGTGGACTCAAGTTCTGAATAACTGCTTCCAGGTAAATATTTTTCATTTCTTGTCTTGCAGTATTAATTCCAAGAAGCTCACAGTACGAACTAATTAAATTAAAGAAAGAACAACAAGGGGTTGGTTATAAGTACTAACCTGACTACCTGAGGTACTTATGCTTGGGAAGTTTCTCAGAATTTCACAATGAATTCTCTTCAAATTCTATATTATATATAGAATTGTAATATAGACTGTAAGGAACAGACTCGTTTTTGAAAAATATGTTTGCCACAATCAGGAGCAAGATCGCATAGAGGCAATACAGGGAGTCAAAAGCTTAATTAAGTTGACAACACTATCTGTTTTAGCTGTAAAAAGGTGATTTGAGAACTAAGAAGCGGTCAAGTTAGTTAGATCACAGACGAGGGAAAAAAAAAAAACAATTTTAGCTTGAATTGTTATTGGATTTATCACATCATTAATTTTGTTTACATATAAAAGTATGGGCACGAGAAATTTTATAATACATAAGTAATAACTAAGTGACGTATGCGATAGCTTACTCAATAAATCTATTTTAAGAAGAGAAATAGACATACGAAAAAAATAAAAAATAAAATAAGTAAGAGAAAATTAAAAATAAAAATGGAGCGAACTTGAAAATTTTCTTATCACTTTTGGTAAGTTCGGATGTAATTCAATGTGTTTTTTTTTTTTTTAAATGAATTCATAAAGTAATCTATCGTATATACTATTAATTACTTCTTGTGTATTATAAAATTTCTCATTCGGACACCTTGTATTTTTCATAATTTCTTTATGACTAACTACTTTCCTTAAAAGGTGTTGAGTCACCTACCAATTCGCATCAATGGGTATTTGTATTTGGTGAATGGTTTAATTTTCTAACGTTTTATTTGAAATCGAGTTTGGTTACACTTCCCGTATAAGAAGTAGTTAAGTCAGACATTTGTTTTTAATACAGTAGTGGGTTATATTAATTACCTGTCACTCTAAGTATCAAGCAGGACCACTCCCCTTTTTTAACACTATCATTTATTATGTATATCTACTTTGTAAGGAAAAAAAACTACAAATTCATAAATAAATCTAAAAGTTCATGAACGATGCAAATATATTATAACTAAAGTTGCCGACTAAAAGCATCCGAGGAATGTCGACAACATTTTTACATCATTCAAACAGCCCATAAAAGATTCATAGGTCTTTGCGACCTAATTCAAGAATGTGATGTAATAATATTAAGTCGATGAATTATGTTACAAAATGAGCCGCAAACCAATCAGGCTTTGGGATTTGCTTTTGGGCCACTTCTCGGGCTTTTGAATACGCACAAGATTAATACTGAAACATCAGCGAAAAAATGCCGGGGAAAAAAAAATCACTATATTTTTTAACCGTGTAAAAGAGTACTAATGGGTATTAATGGAGGTTGTTAACTACTATGTTACCCTCCAACCAATATTAATTTTTCTTTTCTTTTTCCTTTTAAATCAAAATACACATCAAATTAATTTTCATTTTTTTCTCACCAATTATTACTAATTTTTTTTTCACTGACATTTAAAGTACACCAAACATCTTTAAAAATCAACTTTTACATAAAAATTGCTCTTATCATAATTACCCCTGTAACAATTTATCCATACTTTTTTAACTTTCTACCAAACTCCACCTAATGGATAATAGCATTTGGGGTAACCGTATGTTTTTTTCCTCTTTGAATATTTATATTATTTTTTTCTTCTTTTTGAATATTTGTATTTATTAAATTTGATCAATCAAATACTTTCATTAGTTTTGTTACTGAAATAGTAACGTAACAATTAATTTTTTGTCAAATGAGCCTAGTTTGATATTATTTTAATATTTTTTACATTTTAATGTAGCTATCTCTTTTTATATATATATATATTTTTCTTTATTTGAATACCCATACTTTTTTTTAAAGTATTTTTATAAAAATTTGATCAATCAAATACTTTCTAAGTTTCTGTTACAAACCTTCTCACATATGTCAGTTATCAATGATACAAATGGACCTATGTGTTTAAAATAACCATGACATTTTTCAACATTCTTGGTTTTCCATCAAGAAATTGAATAAAATTAAATTAAAAAAATTAAAAAGAAAATCAAAAAATTAATTAATTGATTAGGTGAGCTTATATTTTTCTTACTTGTTAGTTACAGTTTAGTTTTAGCTAACAATAGAAGCTTAAAAAACCATAGATGATAAGTAGCGTAAATATAAATTCATCTAATTAATTAATTAGTTAGTTTTATTATTTTTCTTTTTAATTTTTTTGTTATTTTTTTTTTAAAATCAGCACATGCACTTAAATAGAAAAAAAGATAAATAATTCTATTTTGTCCTTATATAATTTTATAAGTCTCCAATATTATCTTACGTATCTAATTGTTTCTATTATTTCCTCGCATAGCATATAATTCTCCAATATGTCCTTTTATTAAATTTTTTTTCCATCTAATTGACATAATTATATTTTTCATTTAACAAATTTCTTTAAATTATATAAGTACATGATAGAAATTATTTTCAAAATTGCTCAAAAAGTTTTTAGAAAAAAATATTCATAATTAATCGGTGATTAAAACTTTAAAAAATAAAATAAAAATTATTTTGTAATATAAAGTTATATTGTATATCTTGAGTGCATTTTCAAAATAAAAAATATAATTATGTCAAATTGGATAGAAGAATTGAATAAAATGACATCTTGAAGACCTAGATATAGTGGAGATTAATCCTATTATATAAGGAAGATGGAGTCTTTTACTCTAGAAAAATCATAAAATACATCTACTTCATACGTCATTTATCTCTGTCAATTTCTAACACCTAGTGCACTTGACAGAGAGATAATTGTCACGTTAACATAAACTAATGGAGGTATTTGATTGATCAATACGTATAAGTACGAGTATTCAAATAGAAAAATAATAATAATAATAGAAGTATACAAATGGTTACAATCATAAAGTACAAGTAATTCATACGTGGTTATCTATAAAAACTAGAAAATATTAAAACAATGTCAATGAGCACTCACTTTACAGAGAATTAACTATCACGATATTTCGGTAACAAAACTAATGAATATACTTGAGTGATCAAATTTTGTGAATACAAACAAGTAAATAAAAAAATAATACATGTACTCCAATAGAATAAATGAAAAAGTATGGATACTTCAAATGCCTCTATTTCTATTAATAATTAATAACATATTAATGTTAAGGATATTTTTATATTAGTTTATACATCAATCGAGAATGAATTCATCTTTGAATTATTTCAAAAGCACATATTTATATTTATCTAGTTGTGAAATTTCGGAAAGTAGAAAATGTAAAAGAAAGGAACAAGAAGAAGGATTGGGTAGAAGATTTTAGAATTGTTCTAAATAAAAAATACCCAATGTTACAATGATTTTTCTTAGCTAAAGCGAGAGAAGAAGCATTTATATGCTCTCATTAATTGCTAACTAACTCCACTAACAAACTCGGTTAAATTAACTTTGCCAACTAACCTCTACTTTCTATATATTCATAAGTATGCTAGCCTATATATTTCAACATCCCCCTCAAGTAAGAATTTGCAACAAGTTGTAAATACCCAACTTGCCATGAAAGAATTGCAGCTTAGATTTGCCAAGAGCTTTGGTAAACAAGTCCGCAACTTGTAGCTTAGTAGAGATGTAATTAGGAGCAATCATCCTTATTTGTAGCTTCTCTCGAACCAAATGACGAGTCAAGCTCAATATGTTTCGTTCTTTCATGATAAACTAGATTAGAAGCAATGTGCAATGTTATCTAGTTGTCATAAGCCAAAAGCACTAGAGTCAAGTTATCTACTTGCAAGTCTTTCAATAAGTTTAAAACCCAAGTCAATTAACAAGAACCGAAGCCATGACCTATATTCAAATTCCGTCGAAGACTTAGATATAGTGTTCGTTTCTTGGTTTTTCATGAAACAAGAGCTTCTCCCTACTTCATGCAATAGCAAGTGATGGATTTTTTAATCACAAGACAAGTCGCCTAATCTGCATCACAAAAACTATCAATCTTAATTTTCAAGTTGCTAGAAAAAACGGACATTATCCCAAAGTGCCCTTGACATACTTCGAACCTTATGAGCCATCATCATGTGAGCCATTCTAAGGTGTGTCAACAATGGACTTAATATATATACTTGGATAAGTCATATCGGGTATGGAGATGGTGAGGTATATCAATCTTCCTACCAACCTTACGTATACCAAAGGATCGACTGATTCCTTTCCATTTGATGCATTAAGTCTATGATTTTGTTCCATTGGTATTAAGCTTGGTTTTGCTCTTGAAAGTTCAGTATATGTAATAATATTCGAGCAAATTTTTATTGATTTATATAGACTTCATCCTTATTCCCGATAACTTCGGTGCCCGAAGAATTTCGGATCTCTAAGATCTTTGATTCTAAATTTCTAGACCAACATCCTCTTCAAACTTTCAAAATCTACTTGTCAATCCTCGTTATAATCACATCATCAATATAAACCAACAAGGCAAGTAAAGTGACTTTCTAGACCAAGAATGATCACATTGAGACCGAGTAAAACCTCGCTAAAATCAAAGTAGATAAAAATTTAGAAAACCATTTTCTAAAAGCCTATTTGAGTCCATACAAGGACTTCACCAATCTGCAAACATGTTGCCTTTCTTACCCTCATTACAACAAAACCTAGAGGCAAGTGCATATATACCTCCTCATTCGGATCCATATA